GTGCCTGTGCCATACATGGTGCCAGGCATAGTGTGCCTGTGCCATACATGGTGCCAGGCATAGTGTGCCTGTGCCATACATGGTGCCAGGCATAGTGTGCCTGTGCCATACATGGTGCCAGGCATAGTGTGCCTGTGCCATACATGGTGCCAGGCATAGTGTGCCTGTGCCATACATGGTGCCAGGCATAGTGTGCCTGTGCCATACATGGTGCCAGGCATAGTGTGCCTGTGCCATACATGGTGCCTCTCACCAACCATCATTGTGCCATACCAAGTTTTCACAGGTGTCTTGTAAAACATTAATTCTACTGTGGGTTTGCAAGGTTCGTGGCTAAACCAAAGGGTTGACTACACCCCCCACCTCTCCACTGAGGTGGAGGTGTAGTTGTGTACCACCACAACTCAGTGATAGCTGTGTACCGACAAGAATCTAGACCAGGGGTTGGCTACACCCCCAAAACCTTCCCCACCACCTCCACAGTCACTTCTCCACCCACCCACCCACACTCCTAAAGCTTTTGTGAAGCCGAGACATTCTCACAGAGGCACGCTCCTCTCTCCTGTGTCATCTATTACTCTCGTGGCGCCTCTAAACTATGATGTGGAGGATTTCGTTGATGATAACGAAGGGGATCGGGATGTCCCCCTTCTTGTCGGCAATCCCTTACAGCCGCCTTTGTCAATCATTACCCTGTGCATACTGGGCTGTCTCGTCGTGGCTTATTGATCGGTATTGTTGCATGATTGAAAAGCTGTTGGTTGCGCATGGCAGGAATAGTAAAAATATTAATATAAGCAATATATATGTGAGAATAGGAACCTGTCTTCGATGCCAGTGTGCTTTTGTTTATCATTGGGTGAAGATCATATGGCGTGTGAAGGGCGAGTTAGGAGCGGCAAGATACGAGGCCCGTGGTGGGAAGGTGGCGGAGATGGAGTGTAGAGTAGTACCCCCTGGAGCTTTGAGAGAGAGAAAATGTCTGGTGTGATTTTACCGTACTTTCTCCCTACGATAATCGGGGAAAAAAGGTTCAGGTTGCTGAGATGGAACGAGTGAATAATAGGGGATGCTCACTCACTCACCTCGCTCACTCACTCACCTCGCTCACTCACTCACCTCGCTCACTCACTCACCTCGCTCACTCACTCACCTCGCTCACTCACTCACCTCGCTCACTCACTCACTCGCTCGCTCGCTCGCTCACTCACTCACTCACTCGCTCGCTCGCTCGCCGCTACAGAGAGGCGTTTCAAAGTCTCGCCTTCTTCTCTAAAATTGTCGTTCCTTTGGACAGTTCGTTCACTCCCCCACACGCACATTTCCACACTATACAATGAGATGGAGAGAGAGAGGAAAAAAACGGAAGGTTTTTGGCGAGAGGTTACGGGAGAGTTGTAGTGGGAATAGTTCCTCCTCCTGACACAATGGGGGAGGGGTGAGGATGACGGGGAGGGAAGGAGGGTTAGGAGTAGGGGGGTTAGGGGGAGGGAGGGATTGGGGTAGGGCGTGAGGGGGAGGAGGGGTGACATTGTCCCCGGTGAATGTTTGGAGGTGGTGATGGTGGGGTCTTGGAAGACTTGCTGTTTTGCTTGTGTGTGTGTTTGTGTATGTCGTGGTCTTTGTACTCGCCTATTTGTGCTTGCGGGGGTTGAGCTCTGGCTCTTTGGTCCCGCCTCTCAACTGTCAATCAACTGGTGTACAGATTTCTGAGCCTACTGGGCTCTATCATATCTACATTTAAAACTGTGTATGGAGTCAGCCTCCATCACATCACTGCCTAATGTATTCCACCTGTTAACTACTCTGACACTGAAAAAGTTCCTTCTAACATCCCTGTGGCTCATGTGGGTACTCAGTTTCCACCCGTGTCCCTTTGTTCGCGTACCACCAGTGTTGAATAGTTTATCCTTGTTTACCCGGTCGATTCCCCTGAGGATTTTGTAGGTTGTGATCATGTCTCCCCTTACTCTTCTGTCTTCCAGTGTCGTAAGGTGCATTTCCCGCAGCCTTTCCTCGTAACTCATGCCTCTTATTTCTGGGACTAGTCTAGTGGCATACCTTTGAACTTTTTCCAACTTCGTCTTGTGCTTGACAAGGTAAGGGCTCCATGCTGGGGCCGCATACTCCAGGATTGGTCTTACATATGTGGTGTACAAGATTCTGAATGATTCCTTACACAGGTTCCTGAACGCCGTTCTGATGTTAGCCAGCCTCGCATATGCCGCAAACGTTATTCTTTTTATGTGGGCTTCAGGAGACAGGTTTGGTATGATATCAACTCCTAGATCTTTCTCTGTCCGTTTCATTCATCTCTTATTCTGTATCCTGTGTCTGGCCTCCTGTTTCCACTGCCTAGTTTCATTACTTTGCATTTGCTTGGGTTGAACTTCAACAGCCATTTGTTGGACCATTCACTCAGTCTGTCTAGGTCATCTTGTAGCCTTTTACTATCATCCTCTGTTTCAATCCTTCTCATAATTTTTGCATCAGCAAACATTGAGAGAGACGTGTCTATACCCTCTGGGAGATCATTTTCATACACACTCCTGTTTCTGGTGTGTGTGTGTGTGTGTGTGTGTGTGTGTGTGTGTGTGTGTGTGTGTGTGTGTGTGTGTGTGTGTGTGTGTGTGTGTGTGTGTGTGACTCGAGTTGTTCATCATATCTTGCACTAGAATGTTAGTATGTTCATACCTTGAACTAAAGTGTGTTCCTCTTCTTGCTGTGGCAGTGTGGGTGTGTGCTGCCGTGTGAGGGGGGGGGGTGATTGATCACCCCCCCCCCCTCTTGCAGTGGTGTAGACTCACCACTAACAGGGATAGCTGGTGTGTGTGTGTATATATATATATATATATATATATATATATATATATATATATATATATATATACACACACACACACACACACACACACACACACACACACACACACACACACACACACAACGAAGGAGGGTACCTGTAGTGCTGTCTCACCACCACCAGTGAGAGATGAGTTAATGCATAGATTCCCCCGCGAGGCGGGACCTGGGGGGCTGAGGGCGGCCCAAGAGCACTGAGAACTGCGCCAGTACCACTGAGAAAAAAAAAGGTTACAGGTACAGCACGTTCATGTTCGCAATGGGGGTACAGCATTGTTTTATCCCGAGGTGCAGGCGAAGTATACTTTAACGTATTTGTTCAGTTTATTATGTGGTTTACATGTTTGTGCTTGTAGGATCAAGCTGCTAGCTCTTGGACCCCACCTTTCTCACCGTCGTTTGTGTATTGTATTGTTGCATTATATTGCTATCACAGTATAAGTGGAAGCTGGAAAAACAAATGAACCGACAGAAAATGGAAGGAAAATTCTCGTACCCAGTACAGGTGTGACCAACAAGTGGAATGCCCTGTAAGAAGTAGTTGTGGAAGCCACCTCCATCCACAACTTTATGGCCAGATTCGACAAAGAATTCAAACGTCAGAATAGTTAAATTATAAGGCAATAGGTACAAAAAAAAGGCTTGCCGGCGGGGCACTGGGCACGGCCTCCTGCCCACCTTGAGGTAGGCTAGGACTTTTGTCCCCCAGGGTAGTGTCCCCTGGGTGTACTCCTTGGGAATTGTTACACGAGCCTACTGTAAAATGTCTAGGGGGGGGGGGGGAACTCCCCAAAGGAGTACAGAAACCCCCTAGATTGTGGTATAACATTAAAAAGTACATTTACAGAGACAGATAAACGCTGTATCAATAAACATCAATTAATGGGTTCCCACACCTCAGCTTTAATGACGTTAATGACATCACTTCTCTGACATCGCTATTCTGAAGATAAATACATACACTATTTTATCAGACACCCACTATAAATGTTTATGCGCGGACAAAAAAATCATCATAAAGTAGTACATAGAAAATGACATAAAACCTGAACCCTTTAAGTTTATTACATCGTATTACTCAAAATGATTCCATGTTATCTTGCAAGTTAATCATATCAAACTGATTTACATGCAGAGTAGTAAATAAGACCTGGGACCTCCCAGGCCCTAAGTCCTGGGACCTCCTTCCGCACTACTACTTCCGTCCGCCATTTTTGGTGTAGTCCCTGATGACGCCAGCTGACGCTCGCCCCGGAATACCAGACGTCAACCAGCTTTTGAAAAAAAACCTCTGAATATTCACATCTAATAATACTTTATTGTTGCAAATATAAGAGTGGCCACATTTCATTAACAAAAGGTTTTTATACATTCCAACAGATTAGGAATAATTGGTAAATATATTGAGTTACTACTTAGCTGGGCGGAGGAATAATGGCGGCCTTAAGCCTTCCAGCTCTCCACTGACATGATGCCTCTCCCTACACCAAAATATTACATGATTATTATATTCGTAACAGTTATAAAGAGCAAGAGCTCACTTCCCCATAAACACTGACATGTATTCACCTAGTTGCGCTTGCGGGGGTTGAGCTCTGCTCTTTCGGCCCGCCTCTCAAATGTTACAAACTAATTTTTTTTCACACATACCCCTCCCCGCAGGAAGCAGCCCGTAACAGCTGTCTTAACACTCAGATACCTATTTACTGCTAGGTAACAGGGGCATCAGGGTGAAAGAAACTCTACCCATTGTTTCTCGCCGGCGCCGGCAATAGAGCCCTGGACTATAGGATTACGTATCCAGCGTGCTGTCCACTCAGCCACAGGCCCATTGTCCATGCATGTGTGCTTGTGTTTACCCGCGAGAATATATGTGTGGAAAACACACTTCCAGCACTATTTACAGAAAACATAATTAGTGTTGTTGTTAAAGATTCGTTACTTGGAACAAACAGTTCCAAGTAGCACGGGCTATGGTGAGCCCGTAGGTAAAAAAAGAAAAAAAAAGAAAATAGTGTTGGGAGAACAGTAGAAGTACCGTGTCGCGTGCGGAGATGCAGGATAGAGCTCTTGATACAACAAGGGCGTAAGTGAGGGCACGCCCCGCCATCAACATGCACCAACCATTCACACACTCCTCATGTCCTGGAAATACGGCCACTTGCAGCCCGAGCCAGTCTGCCGTTGTAATTACCGGGCGTGTAGCAGTTAAGGGAAGCTCCGCCCACTAGCCCTAAGCAAAGGTTAGGACTAGCCAGGCTCCTTGACCTGGACCCTTCCGCCTGGTAGGGTCCAGGGTCCGCCTGGTAGGGTCCAGGGTCCGCCTGGTAGGGTCCAGGGTCCGCCTGGTAGGGTCCAGGGTCCGCCTGGTAGGGTCCAGGGTGCGCCTGGTAGGGTCCAGGGTCCGCCTGGTAGGGTCCAGGGTCCGTCTGGTAGGGTCCAGGGTCCGTCTGGTAGGGTCCAGGGTCCGCCTGGTAGGGTCCAGGGTCCGCCTGGTAGGGTCCAGGGTCCGCCTGGTAGGGTCCAGGGTCCGCCTGGTAGGGTCCAGGGTCCGCCTGGTAGGGTCCAGGGTCCGCCTGGTAGGGTCCAGGGTCCGCCTGGTAGGGTCCAGGGTCCGCCTGGTAGGGTCCAGGGTCCGCCTGGTAGGGTCCAGGGTCCGTCTGGTAGGGTCCAGGGTCCGTCTGGTAGGGTCCAGGGTCCGCCTGGTAGTGTCCAGGGTCCGCCTGGTAGGGTCCAGGGTCCGCCTGGTAGGGTCCAGGGTCCGCCTGGTAGGGTCCAGGGTCCGCCTGGTAGGGTCCCCTACCTTCCGCCAGGTAAATAACCCACTTCCCTACTCTCATTCCTTGCTTCTGTTTATGTGAAATAAACAAACTGTTAAATTTCACGTAATTGTGACATTCTTACAATCATCTTACCACTAATAGTAAACTTATTGGTGGTGGCAGTTGTTGTTGTTAAAGATTCGCTACCTGGAGCAAAATTCCAAGTAGCACGGGCTATGGCGAGCCCATAGGGGAAGGCTTAAAAAAAAAATGGGTGGCAGTAACGTGTGAAGTCAATGCTGGTTTAATGAGAGCAGTACACACCCTGGAAATTGTATCGGAAGACGTTAATTTTAAACGCCAGAGTAAAGTATTTATGGTGGCGTTAGTTCCCTCTTGGGAGGAATATTGTCGAGTATTAACTGCGACAGTCAAGGCTGGAGACGTTACTGCCCTGGAGAACGTTTATACAACCTTTACTACCAGAGTCCACACCATAAAAGAATTAGAGAAGTTCCGGCAGAAAGTGTCGGTTCAGCCGAGTTGTAGTGGGCCTGCCGGCCGCTCCCAGCAACAGTCTTCTACGTCAAGAACTCACCAGACAAGTCTGGCCCCAGGCCGGGGCTTGGGGAGTGGGGGGTGACTATATCTCCCAGATGCATACCTATTATTAGGTACCTGGTTGATACCTGGTTGATGGGGTTCTGGGAGTTCTTCTACTCCCCAAGCCCGGCCCGAGGCCAGGCTCGACTTGTGAGAGTTTGGTCCACCAGGCTGTTGCTTGGAGCGGGCCGCAGGCCCACATACCCACCACAGCCCGGTTGGTCCGGCACTCCTTGGAGGAATAAATCTAGTTTCCTCTTGAAAATGTCCACGGTTGTTCCGGCAATGTTTCTTATGCTCGCTGGGAGGACGTTGAACAACCGCGGACCTCTGATGTTTATACAGTGTTCTCTGATTGTGCCTATGGCACCTCTGCTCTTCATAGGTATAATAATAAGCCTTCGAATTATGTTCCCTGTGATGAAGGGGAGACACTAGGAATATCAGAAGAGCTGGTATTGCACACTGAAATATTTCCTCAAGAGCCTGGGAAGGCTGGGATAATATGCTCACTGGCTCAGTGAAGAGCATGGTTTACGGGCTATTCATGCCCGTGCCACCTCTTGGGTTACTTAATTTTCATCAATCAATAATTGGAGTGCACTAAGTGCTCTGATTGATAGAGATTAGGCCACCCAGGAGGTGGCACGGGCATGAATAGCCCGTAAAAGTGCTCTTAGAGACGCATCTGTAAATACAACCCGTCCTCAGACCAAGTCTGTTCCATCCAGCGGGCGACCCCAAAGACGCATTCATCAACTTAACATGTTCAGATCAAGACATGTAAGATCAAAACAGGAATTTTCTCAAATATAAGTTAATATTATAATATATTAGCATATTGTGCATATTTATGCACTGGTTAGGTTAGGTGTTTAGGTTCTGTTGGCGATTATTTGTATTTGTAGTACGTGGGTGAAGCACATAGTTGTGGTTCGAACAAAAGTCGTCAGCAAAGCACATGTTTCGGAAGTCATCAGTTGAGAGTCGTGTGTAAACAGTTTGTCATTTATAAACAAGGGGTTTGGCGGGTGCATGGAATCCCTTGTTTGTTCTCTGTTTATGAGGACAGGCTGCACTAGCTATGCCTGTTTGGTCGAACGTACAAAAATGGACCGTTTCACCCGGCAATATTTGCGTATTGTAATATTTTGTAGAGGGCACGAACACAGTAAGCTAGAAGCCAAGCTTAAATATTCCCGGGCCTGATATACCACATGTGTGTACTATATTACGCCCAACATAGTGTGCTTTAGGCTCAGAATTGCTTGGACAGGTTAGGTTTACTGCCTCAGTTCTCCTCCTGCTCCTCCTCCCCTTCTCCTGCTCCTCGGGTTCTTGTGAAGGGCTCAAGTGTGCTCCTCGAGACTTGGGGTGTGTCGAGTGCTCCTTGAGGTAGCGTGTCAGTGAAAGTGTATGTGTTTCATATCCTCCCGCACCAGCAGGAGAGGTCAGCTCTCCGTCAAGTAGGTCTTCTCTCTCTCTGGAGAGGAAGAGGAATGTAGGTAGGGTGTGTTACTATTTTGTCCCTGCAGGATCGAGCTGTTAGCTCTTGGATCTCGCTTTTTCTAACAGCTAGTTATCTAATGTACTGATTCCCAAACAAGAGTGTAATGATCGAAGGAGCGACTGTGTTTGCTTGGGTTTGATCAAAGGACGCGGAGGACGCTAGCGCAGCTGCATTTCAAACTCGCGTCTCTGGTTTCCCAAGATACACGCACTGTCGATTGCGTGGGGGGACTAACCTACCTATACCTTGTGGTAGTTCCAAGGATCAACGTCCCCGCGGCCCGGTCTCTGACCAGGTCTCTTAGTTCTTCGTCTGGTCAACCTGGCTGTAGGACGCGACTGCTCGCAGTTTGATGCATCAAGACGTACCTACCGTAGTTGATCGGGTAGGTATCCTTTGGAGGTGTTTATCGAGTTCTTTCTTGAACACTGTCAGAGGCCGGCCAGCTATGCTTCATATGTGTAGAGGGAGAGTGTTGAAAAGTCTTGGGCCCTTGATGGTTATAGAAATTCTCTCTCAGCGTATCTATTGCACCTCTGCTTTGCGATGGGGCTATTTTGCACATCCTGCCATGTCTACTGGTTTCATATGATGTTATATCCGCGTACAGATTAGGAACTAGTCCCTCTAATATTTTCCACGTGTAAATTATTACCATTCTGTCTGCGCTCTAGACAATACGGATTTAGAACTTTTAATCGGTCCCAATAATTTAGATGTTTTAGACTGGATTCTAGCAGTAAAGGATATTTGCACGCTCCCTAGGTCAGTAAATTCTCCGGCTTTGAATAAGGCTGTTAATATGCAACAATATTCCACCCTAGGGCGCACTAGTGCCTTGAAAAGTATGGTATCCGTGGATTTGGAGGTTCTTGTTATCAACCTGTCTTTCTTGCGGTCCTGAGAGCTACACTTTTGTGCAGGCGATGAGTCACAATAGCGTGGCTAATGTATGATGACCAGACCACACACTAGAAGGTGAAGGGACGACGACGTTTCGGTCCGTCCTGGACCATTCTCAAGTCGATTCTCAAGACAATCGACTTGAGAATGGTCCAGGACAGACCGAAACGTCGTCGTCCCTTCACAGTCTAGTGTGTGGTCTGGTCATCCTACACTTTTGTGTAAAGGTAAGGTCTTCCGACATGATTACTCCCAGAACTTTTACCTAGCGCTTTCGTTCTATAGTGTAATGTAATTGAGTTTTATATATGGCTTCCGTTGTTATATTTTCGTTTGTTCCGTAGCGCGGGAGCTGGAACTCCTGTGGTATGTTGAAGTTCATTAAACATCGTGTTATTGTCTGTGGTCCATTGAAAGACCCGATTGACATCAGATTGGAAGTTTGCTGTGTTCCTCTATATTGTCTACTCGTATGAAAATCCTGGTGTTATCTGTATATGAAGGCAGGGGGTGGAGTACTCGTCTAATTGCTTGCGGGGGTTGAGCTTCGGCTCTTTGGTCCCGCCTCTCAACTGTCAATCAACAAGTCTCTATCCCTACTGGGCTCTATCATATCACTTGAAACTGTATGGAATATGCCCCCATCACATCAGTCCCTAGGTACATGTTATTTCCAAACTACTCTAACACTGACAAAATTATTTCTCGGTGCCTCGCGGCTGAGTGGACAGCGCTCTGGGATTGTAATCCTTAGGCCCGGGTTCGATCCCCGGCAGAGGCAGAAACAAATGGGCAGAGTTTCTTTCGCCCTAATGCCCATGTTCACCTAGCAGTAAATAGGTAACTGATAGTTGAACGGCTGCTACGGGCTGCTTCCCGAGGATGTACTCACCTAATTGTACTCAACTAATTGTGCTTGCGGGGGTTGAGCTTTGGCTCTTTGGTCCCGTGTGTGTGTGTGTGTGTGTGTGTGTGTGTGTGTGTGTGTGTGAGAGTGAGTGAGTGAGTGAGTGAGTGAGAGTGAGAGAGCGTGTTAGAGAGAAATATATGTATCAGACATAAAAGAGGAAACATAAATTGGTTAGAAAGGCGGGGTCCAAGAGCTAACAGCTCGATTCTGCAGATGCAAATAGTAAATACCCACACACAGAAGCGGTAGCCTATACACACTGAAAGTGAGCTGAAGGGATGGCAGTGTATTAGTATTAAATGACAGATGCCGGAAAAATTCTGCGCGCTGAATTTTGAGTGAAGCATCGACACCCTCTCTTTTATTTATTTTGCGACAGAACATCAGTTGATCATAAAAATGAAGTGTTTCCACTCGGTGCTCAGAAACGGATTGGAAACCTCCGAGTTACCAGCATTATACCCGACCTCATTATATATGCCCGACCTCATTATATATGCCCGACCTCCCTGCCCGACCAGGGCGGTCGGGCACCAGCATTATAGCAAATAAAGCTGATGATATTCATTCAATATCATTATATAGATGATACTGATATTCATACAATATCATTATCCAATTTCCCACTTCCATGGAGAGGGGGGGGGGCGAGGCATCAGTGCCGATAAATATAATTGAGAAAATAAGTAAAAACGAGGTTATTGTAATTAAATGTCAAATTAATTACACGGCGCAGGTATTCATTACAATATTCATAATGTATATAGCATCAAGGGTATAGGAGCGTGACCTGACTGCTGGAGTCATTCACCGGCACACCAGACTAGCAGGTGTGTGTGTGTGTGTGTGTGTGTGTGTGTGTGTGTGTGTGTGTGTGTGTGTGTGTACACACCTCTGCGCGCGCGCGCGCGCACACACACACACACACACACACACACCTGCTAGTCTGGTGCACTGTGCATATCTGGTGATGGTTTAATGATGGTCTGTGAATATATCTTACTGATATACTCACTATTCACTCATACAGGCTTAGCGCTTTTTCCTTATTTTCCTTCCCTCCCCCCCCCCTTCAACACCCCACACACACACACACACACACACACACACACACACACACACACACACACACACACACACACACACACACAT